CAATGTTGTTGATACTGTACACCGTAGTCAGAATCGACCCCTAGCTGACCCTCTGGCAGGGTTTCAGAGGCAGTTAGTTAAAGATTGCCGGTCCTTCTCCTGTGGAGCAGCTGGTGGATTCCAACTGGTGGATTCCTTTGGGGACAGCAGCACAGCTTCTTGCCACTAGGCCACCAGAGCTCCCTCAGAATAATAACAGCCATCCAAGTGAACTAACTCAGTCCCATAAGGACAAATGTATGAAGCCATTACTGTAGAATGAGTATGAGGATCCAAGGGGGGAGGGGGTGGAAGCAGAGGGTTAAGTATGGGCAGGGTAGGGGGTGAGTGGTTAATCACAGGATTGCACAATTTGATGGTGTGTATTTGTGTGTGTGTGTGTGTGTGTGTGAAGGAAATGGGAAGGATCTTTTGTAAGAAACAATGTATTCAAACTTTGTAAATAAATCAGTATAAAATGAAAAACAAAAGGGAGAGAACAAAACAAAAAAAAAATAAGTTATCCAATAACAGCAGGTATCATTATTAGTAAAATCACCTTCCTCTGTAATTCAGAGTGAGAAAGATAACAAGGGCTGGCCACTTCCTCCCGTTCCCATAGATATAGTGGAGCAGGCAGCTGTTACCTCCCGCCTCTCTCAGAGCCAGTTTCCTCTCCCAGCAATGACAATGCTGGAAGCTTTCTTGGGAAATCATCCTTCTCCCACTCTGGATTCATGTGGTTTGGGGAGGTGGACTGACAACCTGCCCCAGGAATGTGACCACTAAGGAGATCTGGGCCACCCTCATGGCCACACCAATCGGTTGGCCCATTTCCCATCAATGCCACGCAGGCAGGGCTTTCGTTGAGACTGGTGGAAAAAGGAGAAACTCTCTTCTTCCCGCCTCTACTCAATGGGAAGATCTAAGCCTAGACTGCTGAATCTGGCTTGTCAGAGAACAGAGCCAACACACAGGAGAGTGGAACAGAGAAAGGCAGTGCACCCTCGCTGCAGCATTGCATCCGTATCCAGCAACTCTTGAACTCTTTACTATGTGAACCCTATGTTACTTTTCCTACTTAAGCCAGTCTAGGTTAAATTTATATTTCTTACAACCAAAAAATATAGAGCTTCATCAGTTAAAATGCAGGTACAGTATAGAGATGACGATCAAATAGCACAGTTCCTAGACTACGCATGCCAAGTAGCTTGGAATTTCTTCAAACAGGATTAACAGTACCTGCCGTTGGTGTCCCGGTTTACATCCACCTGGAACTGAATCAGACGATCTTTAAGATTTTGGGCTCGCTCACAGAGATCGTAATTCAGGGCCGTGGCATCGAGGCAGAACATGGCCAAAGGCACGGTAATGTGCATGGATGCAATTTCATTTCTCAGCTTCTTAATGTCATTGATCCTCTGTAGAAAGGAGCACATTCAGTACCTTCCTTCACCACCAACACTGTGTTCACTCACCCGTGGCCCCACCTTGACTGAGCTCCAGCCAGGGTCAAGCACAGCGTGTCCACTAACCAGACAAATACGGCCCCTCACTGGGCCATCTGTCACACAAGCCACAAGCGCACAAACCGTGAAGCGGCATCTCCTACCTTCACAAAATCCTCGATGTCATGGTTTTCTTTCAGGAAAGCGGTGATGTTTCGCTCTGCCGTATTATCCAGTAAGTCATCATACTTCTTGTACACATTTAAGTATCTTCCAGATTGAAGAACACAGAATAAAGAAGAAAGCATACAAATTCAGATCACAGAAACATAGAAGTGAGAGTGGCAAACAGCAATAATAATAATAAAAATGATAAAAAATACACCCTTAAAAATGGACCAAATGGATTGTTGTTGTGTGCTGTCGAGTCCAAACTGACCCACTGCTGACCCTCCAGCAGGTTTTCTGAGGCAGGAAACTTTCACACAGGAAGAGACTGACTACCGTTCTCCTGAGGAGCAACTGGGGGATTTGAACCATGAGACTTTGAATGGATACCACAACTCCTTATCCCCTAGGCCACCAATGCTCTCTGACCCAGTATAATCCTAGAGGAGTGACTGCCAAAGTTAATCCTATTTTTGGCATGGGGGGCGGTATAGTGATGAAAGTGTTTTGAATATACTAAAAATCAGGGAACGGAATTACTTAGAAATGGTGAATTTCATGCCTGTGAATATGCTCTTAAATGTTGTTAGTTGCGGTGAATTACAGACCGGCACACAAATTGAGCCCATGTGTTTCAGAAGAGAACCCCTGCACGGGACTGTTAGGGCTGTAACCCTTACAGAAGCCGATCGCCAGCTCTGGACGAGGAGTCCCTGGTGGTGAAACTAATAAAGCACTCCACCACTAGGTGCAACGCTGGCAGCTGAATCTACCCAGTGGTACCTCGTAAGAAAGACCTGGAAATCTGCTCCCAAAGGTCACAACCCTAAAGCACCCTAAGGATGAGTCCTCTGCACACTGAGATCACTATGAATCAGGACTTGAGGGCAGCTAGCAACGATCGTCTGCAGTACCAGGAGGTAGGACTGAACTGCCAACCTTTAGGCTAGCTGTTTCGTGGTGGTGGACTGCAGAGTCAGAACAACCCATAGCTGACCCACCAGCGGGTTTTCAGAGGCAGTTAATCGCACAGGAGGAGATTGTTCATCCTTCTTTTGTAGAGCAGCTGGTGGCCTCGAACCTCGTGCCTTTGGGATTGCAGTGCAGCTTCCTGCCACTAGGCCACCAGAGCTCCTTTTAGGTTACTGTTGTTGTTGTTGTTATGTGCCGTCGAGTCACTTGCGACTCATAGCGACCCTATGTAGCAAGTACAAATCATTTGCACCATCCAATCCAGTAAATTCTCTTGTGGAGCCCTGGTGGCGTGGTGGTAAGGAAATCACCCTGTCAACCCAACAGCCCACAGATCAAATGCGCCAGCTGCTCCATGGGAGAGAGAGAGGGGTTATCAATTCCCGTGCAATTTATTGCCTCTGAAAACCCACTGGGCCATATATGAGTCAGTCCCAACTCAACAGTAGCAACAATTCATTAAAACCAAACCTATTTCCACTGCGTCAATCCCATTGGGTTTCTAAAGTTGTAAATCTTTACAGAGGCAGATTGAAGTACATTTCTCCTGAGGAGCAATTGGTGAAATCAAACTGTCAACCTTTTGGTTAGGAGCTCAGAGCTTTAACCACAGCACTACATGGGCTCTTTTGCATCACCTACTATTTATGTTGTTATGTGCTGTGAAGTCGAAACTGAGTGCAGGGGCTGGGCTGCCAACTTAAAATCAGGTGGTTCAAAGCCACAGCTACTCCCTGGGAGAAAGACGCGGAATCTCCTCTCATGTGATATACCTCAGAAAACCTGCCAGAGGGTCAGCTATGAGTCAGTTCCAACTTGATAGTCGTTATGTGCCATCAAGTCACTTGTGACTCATAGCGAGCCTATGTACAAGAGCCCTAAACCCTGCTCTATCCTGTGCCAACCTTATTGTCTCTGACACAACTATCCCCATTGCCCCAGTGACTGAATCAACCCATCTCATTGAGGGTCTACCTCTTCTGCGCTGTCCCTCCATCTCCCAAGCATGATGTCCCTTTCCAAGAACTGGTCTCTCCTTGTAACATGTCCAGAGTATGTCAGACGAGGCTTCAGAATCTTTGCTTCCAAGGAGCAATCTGGTTTCATACTCTCCAGGTTGAACCTGTTTGTTCTCCTAGCAGTCCATGATATATTCAACACTCTTCTCCAGCACCACAGATCAAAGGCATCAATTCTCTTTCTATCATCCCTAGTCATTATCCAGCTCTCTGACACATAGCAAGCAACTGCAAAGACTATGGCCTGGATCAGGCACACCTTAGTCTCCAGACTGATGCTGTTGCTCTTCAGTACTCTGAAGAGGTTCCTGACAGAGCTGAATAGCTCACTGGGTGTAATTAGGATAATGATATTGCAAACCTTTGTATGATGCACAGGGTAGCTCCCACAACATTCATTTTCCTGCCTAAAAGGACTGTAGTGCTGAGGTTGAGAAATCCTGGGTTAGGGTAACTTTCCATCCTCTTTTGCCTGGGGTACACCTCATTGTCCCAGTATACACCTCTTGTCCCTTGGTAATTACTGACACTGCTTAACGTGTGCCTGACTGAAGCCATGGTATTTCCCATCACCCTGTATCCATACAAACCTTGGGCAATGAATAAGGAAGACTGAAGAACAGGTGATGCCATTGTATTATAGTGTTAACGGAGAATATCGAACATACCACGGGCTGTCCAGGAATGAACAAATCTATCTTGGAAGAAATGCAGCCAAAATGATCCTTAGATTCAAAGATGGCAAAATTTTGTCTCACATATTTGGGCCTTGCTGTTAAGAGGGGCCTGTCCCTGGAGAATGACATCATGCTTAGAAAAGTAGAGTGTGAATAAAAAAAAGAGGAAAACCCTCAATGAGATGGGTTGATATGGTGACTGTAACAATGAACAAACAGAGCAAGAAAGCAATGGCCATGAGGATGGTGTTGGACCAGGCAGGTTTTCATTCTGTTGTACAGTCAGCAGACTCTGCAGCACCTAACAACAACTTTCAATCCCGGGATCCTGGTTAAAAAGCTAGAAGACAAAGTCACCCTAAAGTATATCCATGTTGTTGTGTGCCATTGAGTCACCTGCGACTCACAGCGATCCTATGTACAATAGCTCTGAACCCTGCTCTATCCTGAGCCAATCTCACTGTCTCCAACACATCTGCCCCATTATTGCAGTTATTGTGACAATCCATCTCATCTGGGGTCTTCCTCTCCTATGCTGTCCCTCCACCTTTCCAAGCATGATGTCCTTCTCTAAGGACTGGTCCCCCTAGGCAATGTGCCCAAAGTATGAGAGACAGGCCATCAAAATCCTTGCCTCCAAGGAGCAACTCGTTTCACCCTCTCCAGGATAGACCTGTTTGTTCTCTTGGTGGTCTATGGTATGTTCCACACTCTTATCCAGCACCACAACTCAAAAGGCATTAATTCTTCTTCTGTCTTCTTCAGTTAGTCTCTAGCTCTCTGATGCATAGCAAGTAATTGTGAAGATCATGGCTTGGATCAGGCACACCTTAGTTTCTAGTCTGACACTGTTGCTCTTCAACAGTCTGGAGAGGTCCCTGACAGCATAATTCCTAATGCAATTCATCTTTCAATTCCCTGACTGTTGGTGCTAAGAGTGTTGATTGTAGAACGAAACAAGCTGAAATTGTTAACAATCTCAATCTCTTCTCCATCTATCATAATGTTGTCAACAGGCCCAGTGATGAGAATCACTGTCTTCTTGATGTGATGCTTCAATCTATATTGAAGACTGCAGTCCTTGACCCTCTGCAGCAATGCACAAAGGCAACAGTGAAGCACTCTGAATCATGATGCTTAAAGATGATTAAAGAGAATGAACTCAAATACCCAATGCTCAAGCCCTTTTATTCAGAAGGGAGTTCTAATAGTGTCACCTGCAGCAAAGCGTACTGTCAACCCAAAGGCTGAACATTTCTGATGGTTCAAATCCACAATCAGTGGTTCCCCAGGAAAAAGAAGGGTGATCTCTCCTCGCTATCATTTATACCCTTAAAACAGGATGGAGGGGTACTATGATTGAGAAATGGCTCAACATCAGTGAGTGAGTGAGCGAGTGAAAGCCCAAAAGCTCTGAAACACAAGGTTTCTTCAAAATTCATTGAATAATGCAAAATTTCCTTAAATGTCCACCTAAAACTAGTGTTAGGCTATGTGTGTGAATGGTCATAGGGTTAGCTGCAGAAGTACCCCAACTCTGACTATGCTGCCTCAGCCTTCTCTGCTGTTGCCAAAGACATGATATGTGCATTATGTCACTTTGCTAAAATGCAAAACTGTCTCAATGCAAAATCCAAGTAGCAGGAAGATTTCAGATACTGAATTGAAATTTGAACCCCGCCTCTCTCTATTTATTTGCTTGTTTCCTGTAGGGAAAGTAAGGCGTTCTTATCTGTAAAATGTCTCACATCCTTTGAGCATGTTGCTAAGACAGGTTATTCCTTGGAAAGGGACAACTCGCTTGGGAAGGTGGAGGGAGGGCGAAAGAGAGGAAGACCCTCAACCGGGTGGACTGACACAGTGACTGTGGCAATGGGTTTGAGTGTGTCAGAGATTGTAAAGACGGCACAGGACAGGACAACGTTCAGATCTGTTGTTCACAGGGTCGCTAAGACTCAACTCGACGGCACCTAATAACAACAACCATCTGTAACATGGGACTAAAGATTAATTGCCTAGTTTACTCATCTTTCAAGTGCTGGCTATTTTTATTACTTTTTTTTTTCCAGAAAATGTGGGAATAGAGCTTGTTTGTTTGAGGAAGAACTTTCTACTCATGCCAAAGGCTAATCAATAAAGTCGTATCAGAAAAAAACTTACTTGTTAGGGCCAACTTGGTTTTTCTGATATACCTTAAGAGTCTGATCCACAAAATCAGCAACTAGTTTTTCGTCAGCTCTCACCGTTCCAAGGGTTAGATGATAGCCTTTCAACTCTGGGAATAGGAGAGATTCCACCTGAAAAGCAGAAATCAATTGTGGGGGGTGGTCACAGAAGGAAGGAGGTAGCATTAAAATCTGCAAAACTACAATGGCCTCGTTTCCAGAGGTACCAGCTCCATTTCCCACTCTGCTTCCTTCTAGTGGCCTAGTGGGTAAAGAGTTACACTACCAACTCGAGGGAACTTAGGTTAAAACCACCAGTTGCGCCGCCAAAGAAAGATGGGCTATCTCCTCCTGTACAGTTTACAGCCTCTGAAAACCTACTGGAGGGTCAACTATGGATCAGTTATGACTCAACAGCAATGAGTTGGGTGTTTTTTAGTCTCCCTGGACAGTGCTGGAATCACCATGCTGGCCCCTCTCTTGCTATCAGCTGTCTTCTCCCTTTGCCTGGCTTCCTTGTCTTCCTAATCTTTGCGCCTCTTAAAAGCTCCCTGCGCTCCCAGGATGCTTTGGGTTACCGGTTAAGACACTTGGTATCATCACAACTATAATAAAGTGACTGGGCTATAATGGCTCCATACCTATCTTTCTAGTTGGAATAGAAACATTTCATTGATAACTAATCTGATTTTATTTTTGTGTTCCTAGGGCATAGGAAAAGCATGGCACCCAGCAGGTACTCAATAAATATTCTCTAAAATTATTACAGTGGCATTCCCTCCCTACCCCCGCCTACTTCCTCTAATTAAAAGCTACTAGAGACACCAGCAAGCTCTGGTGGCCTAGTTAGTGGTAAGAAGCTGCACTGTAATCCTGAAAGTACATGGTTCAAATCCAACAGCTGCTCTGTAGGAGAAAGATGGGCCACCTTCTCCTGTTCAAATAACTGCCTCTGAAAATCCTCGGGAGGGTCAGCTATGGATCTGTTCTGAATTGACTGTACACGACGACGACAAGCAGTTCTAATTCTCCTCACCTATGAGAACTTAGGTAAGCTATTTCTCCTCTGAACCTCACTGTTCTTATCTTAAAAAGGGAGAGATGGGACTGATTCTCTTCTCAGCTCTTGGGGGGGGACGACACACCATCTATTATTTTTTCCTATATATGCTCCCTTTGTTAACTTTGATCGTTAATATCATTGAATTTTACCCACAAGTGAATATTATATGACATATATGTATTTGTGTTTATTTTAAAAATATAGCAATGCTCCTTCCCCATCTTTGCTTTACATTCATCAGACAAGCAAAACAAATGCTCTATCTCTGATCAAAATTTATTGATGAGTCTATGTGCTACATGTTAAAGTGAAAGTAAGAGACAAAGGTCCTATTTTGTAGATGAAAGGATTAATTTTCTTGATTTAAGAGGAATAGAAAGACAAGAAGATAATTTACCCAACATGCTTTTTTTAAAAGATTGTGCAAGATATTAAGTATGAAGTGATTTCACAATATCAGGAAACACCCTACTTTTATGATTATGAGCCACTGTGGTTTCTAACAATCTGACAATCTATTTCTAACAATCTATTTTTCAAACAACTTATTTTATGTTTTTGTTGTTGCAGACATACACAGCATATACTAACTAAACCAGCTGCACACGTCCAAGTCAGTGACACTGATTCTATCATGGAAGTTGTGTAACCGTCCTCATTCTCTTTTTCTAGACTGTTCTCCCTCTGTTAACACAGACTCAATGCCCCTTAAGCTTCCTAGCCAATTTTTCACATTTCTGTGTTTCCACATGGATAGAATACTCTAACAACATACTGGCACATGTATTCTCACTGACACCACAATGTAGACTGTGGCGGAGTCTCAGGTGGGAACCTGCTTCGTTTCATGACCTTCCCTACTAAGAACATGTCCAGTTATCACTCCTGGATCTTCTGAGTGCTTCGCTGAGTTATACAAGTTACCTACATTTGGAGAGAATGTACCAATTTAGAAAGGAAGTGATCTGAAAAAAAAAGAAAGAAAGAAAGGAAGTGATCTTTGGCCAGTGCAAAGGTTTCTAACTCTGTGGAAGAGTGCCTTCTTTGCTGAGGTAATATTGCAGACAGGAGTGAATGACAAGGAAAGTGAGGGGTTGGCATCGGTCAATTATGTTGATGAAATGTTTTGTAGTTGCCGATTGCTACTTAATTGATTTTGATTCCTAGCGACCACATGAAACTGGACAGAACTACCCTATAAAGTTTCCCGGGAAGCAGAGCACCAGGTCTTTCTCTCCTGGAGCCATTAGTTGGGTCTGAACTACCAACCTTTTGGTTAAGAGTTGAGTGCTTAACCATTATGCCACTAGGGCTCCTGATGAAATGGTACAGTGCAGTACAACTAGTATTGTCAAGCCAGCCACAGGCCAAACGTGTAAGCACAGTAGATTATCTCTCTGGGAGAAGTCTCTCTGGGAGGAGTCTTCAGCTGAGAGAAGAATGAACATCTCCTGTTGTCCATTAATTATGACCAGGTCTCTGATACAGAGCAGTCTGTAAAAACGACACCAACCTGTCCTAACCAGTTAGTAATTGTGGTTTCTGCCTCCAGAACTCCTGTTTTCATCAGCAGCATGTTCCACTTCTCTATGTGGGGCTATCACATTCCTTGGTATTCCAAATGAGAGAATTCTCCTTTTCTGATAATAATATATACTTTTTTCCTGATTGGGAAAAATAATACATTGACATAGCTTCTAATGCTGATGCAACATCATCTCAGTGTATTTTCAGTCTTAGAAGCAACTTCTCTTATGGCAAAGTGATTAAGCAGCTGGCAGTTAACTAAGAGGTTGACAGTTCGAATCCACTGAGTGGCCACAAAAAAAAAGACCTGGTTGATTTCCTTCCACAAAGATTACACCCAGGAAATCTTGTGGGGCAGCTCTGTGTGAGTTATAAGGTCACTGTGAGTCAGTGTCCCTAAACAGTAGTGAGGTAGGTTTTACCCATTATCAGCTTCATTTTATTTCTATCTTGCTAATCACTTCACTTAATATCAAAGCATCTGTATTTCTCTGCTAAGACAAATATTTGCTAATATTTACTTTGCTTTCTTCAAATAACTCTCACACAAAGAATCTTTTTCCCCTCTCCCTTAAGTACTATTTTCTTATCTTTTCTTGACTCTTTCTCCCTAACTTCTGAATTCACAGTAGCCTAGTGGATTGGGAGTTGTGCTGCCAATCCAGAGGTAGGCAGTTTGAATTCACCAGCTGCTCCATGGGGAAAAGATGGGTAATCTCTTCTTGTGGGATCTCCTCCCTCTGACACCTTACTGGAAGTTCCAACTTAATGGCAATGAGTTGCTTCTGTGAGCCATAAAGAAGCCAGGATGGTAGGAGATAAGGGTGTCATCCACGGCTGTTAGATTATCTCATTAGCTAATCAAGTTGATGGACTGTGATTTTAGATTTTTGCGGCCAAGTTAGAGAGAAAAGTTCAAGGAGTTTAGAGAAGGGACCAGTGTCGTGAACAAAATCAGATGGAGAATGAACAGCCTGTGATGTTTTCTGTTACAATCCAGCGAAGTCACTGGCATTCATTTGGGCCCAGTTTTCATACCTGGTACAAACCATGATCTATACCTCTGTCTTCTTGGCATTCTTGTTGTTGTCAAGTGATAACAAGTAGGTTCAAACTCACAGCGGCAGGGTCCGCAAAGTCTAGGACCAGCCCCAGAAGCCACGTGAGCCCTGGTCTCTCTCAGCCCAGCTGCCTTCAAACATGCTGCTCGGCAGCAGAGAGCAGAAGCTCGAGTAGTATGTACTTTATCTGTCCCAGCCCCACACTGATCCTTCCAAATTACAGGGTCTTCGCTTTCATTTCCTCTTCTTCCACACACCCAGTTTCTTGTTACACAGACTTGGCTAGATTAATAACTAAGACACAAGTTATTTTGTAAAATCAAACTAGAGAGCTTTGGACTCTATATGCTCTCTCTAAACACCAACTCTAATCTTGATCTCTTGGCAAAGTGAAATATGGTCAAAAGTCTCAAAGTAGACAGGATGTAAGAGTGTGTGTGTGTGTCTGTGTGTGTGAGGGGGGGAGAAGGAAGAGGGGAGGGGGAGAGGGGAGAGGCTAAAAGGGAAAGGGGAGAGGAGAGAAAAGAGAGGGAAAGAGGGAGAGAGAAAGAGAAAACATAAAATTCTCTCACATGTCGATCTGGATTCTAGGCCCTTTGCCTTAGTAAACTCTCAGGGGGAAATAAAAGACTTGAAAGAATCTTCTATTTTTCATAATAGAAGAGTCCATGTGGATGGACTTGCCTGGGAGTAAGACTGTTGATCAGTGTCTAGAATCTTCCCAATAACTTCCTCCTGGAAAATGAACCTAGACAGGGCTCAGGGCAAAAATGAAATCTTCATTGTCCCCCTATGTGTGATTAAAAAGACCCCCAAACACAAACTGTATGAACTATGAAAATAAAATATCATTGAATGGAAAACCTTGGCAAGTAGCAACTGATACATAATGAATTATTAACTCAAGCTGGATATGGCTTAAGACACATCTGTGCTTCTGGGACAAGCATATGGGGGGCAACTAAGCTCCCAACAGAACTCACAGACAGGGCTCAACTCCCAGTCAAACAAGAGACGCAACTATCTGGTGCACAGCAACACCCGGGAGGCAGGACTCTCCAGAATCAACTAACCACACGAGGTCAAAAGGGCAACATTTGCTCAGTGATAAAGCTTAGAAAGCAGGAAGGAATAGAAAAGTAGGATGAACTGAAGTGGGATACACAGAAAGGAAGTGGGAAGGATGCTGTGTTACATTGTGGGAACGCTGATTGACAATCAACGTAAAAAATCAAACAATGTATGAATTATTGTGAATGGAAAATAAATATCCTCTGTCAACTGTTACCCCAACCACAACAAAAAGTTACAAAGAGGGAAAAAAGTTATCTTAGAACTCTAGTTTCATCTAACAAAGACTCAATATTCTTAGAGGCATAATTCAAGGGTGCACTGGTATTTCTTTATGACCCAGATCCTCCTACTAGTGCAGGAAGTATGCTCAGGTCTTGCTCCCCAAAGTAAAATGCCCCTCTCTGAGTATCACACTAGACTGCTCTGTACAAACAGCCACTTCAAACAGTTTCTTTAATAAGTGAACAAAACTTCAAGTGAATGAAACAGTGAATACAGTACCTTGGGGATCTTCTCAGAGCTTCTAATGATTTCCAGGAAAGAGTCTTGTATTATTTTCCAGCAGTCATCAAACGACGGGTTAAAGACAATGATGGGTTCTTTGACTTCAAGTTTGATCATGATTTGTTGAGGTGTGAAGAAATCCATCTCTTGGTAGGGCTCCTTGAAATCATTTCCATCCTTGAGAAGACATAAGATACAGCGATCATCATAAAATGAAGCACTTTAACATTAAGATAGTGAACTTTAGTTGTTAATATTGCTCATAAGCAACAGAAAAGAAAGTTAAGAGTTGGTCATCGCTACTCTTAACGTTCAAAATATGGCTAAGTATACCTTACCCCTTTGAGATCTCTTCTGTTTCACAAAACCTTTATCCAGTGGTCTTTATTTTACTTGGAAATTTTCCAACTCCTGATCTTGTTGAAAATACTTTAAAAAAGTGGCTAGATCCAGAAATTAAAGTTGGATTCAAAAGAATTCATAGAAGAAGGGATACAATCTCTGATGTTAAGAAGGGTGTTGGTCAAAAGCAGAGAATATGAGAAAGAAATTTGTTTACCTATCAGTACGCAAATGCATTTATCCACATGGATTATAATCAATTACAGATAACACTGTAAAAATGAGAATTCCAGACAGCTTAACTTTGCCATTGCAGAACCTATACTTAGACCAAGCAGGCGTTCAAACAGAGCAAGGGAATAATTCCTGGTTTCAAATAAGAAAAGATGTGCATCAACTTTGTATTCTTTTACAATGCCTGTTCAATCTGTGTGATGAGCACAAAATCCAAGACTGTAGACTACATGAAACAAATGTGGCATCAGGATTGGAGGAGGACTCGGTAAAAACCTGCAGTACACAAAAGGCACAGCCTTGCTTGCTGAAAGCAGAGAAGATTTAAAACACTTAGTGATGAAGCTTAAAGACTATATAGCCTTCAGAACAAAAAAGATTAAAAATGCTTACAGCTGGGCCAAGAAACAAAATCAAGATAAACCAATAAAAAATGATATTGTAAAGGATTTCATTTTATGTGGATTTACAATCAATACGCATGGGCGTGGCAGTTAGGAAAAGAAATATAGATATAGATTATAGATAGATACAGATGATATACAGATAAGCTCTGGTGGCCTCGTAGCAAAATGCTGCACTGTCATCCTGAAAGCACGCGGTTCAAGGCCACCAGCTGCTCTGTGGGAGAAGGATAGGCAATCTCCTCCCCTGCAATTATCTGCCTCTGAAAACCCGCTGCGCTGGAGGGTGAGCTATGGGTCAGCTCTGACTCGATGGTACATAACAACAATAAACACACACACACAAAACAGTGTTAAGTACTGAGCAAATTTGCTGTAAAAGACAATAGTCTTTAAAATGTTAACAAAGCAAAGATGTAATTCAAGTCCTAAAATGTGCTGGATCCCAGTCATGCTGTTTTCAATCACCTCTTATATACAGAAAAGTTAGGCCATGAATGAAAAAGAACTGAGATATTTGAATTATAGGGCTGGTGAAGAACACAAGCTGTATCATGACTTAGAGAAGAACAAAACTGTTTCAGAAAAATTACAGCCAGAACGTTCCTTAGAAGAAACGATGATAAGACTTGTTATCAGGGATCCAGGTCCCTGGAGAAAGACAGCAAGCTTGGAAAAGTAGGACTTCGATTTGCTGATGTAGCACGATCCAAAATGAAGGGGTAGACTTGCAATCATCCACTAATCATCACAAAATGGAATGTATGAGGTGTGAATGTAGCAAAATTGGAAGTTAGCAAAAGGAAATAGGACACAAGAAGATCAAAATCCTAGGTATTCAAGAGCTTAAATGGAGTGATCCTGGCCATTTTCAGCCAATCAGTCTACTATGCTCAGAAAGATAAATTTAAGAGAAAAGGTATCTCATTCACTGTTAAAAATAACATTTTAACATACATGCTGATATACAACCTTGTTGGCAAGAAGATAATATCCATTCATACACAAGTAAAACCTATTGTTGTTGTTATGTGCTGTTGAGTCGCTTGAGACTCATAGTGACCCTATGTACAATAGCCCTAAACTCTGCTCTGTCCTGTGCCAATCGCACTGTCTCAAATACACCCATCCCGATTACCCCAGTCACTGAATCAATCCACCTCATAGAGGGCCTTCCTCTCCTGCGCTGTCCCTCCACCCTCCCAAAGCATGATGTCCCTCTCCAAGGACCGGTTCCTCCTTACAACATGTCCAAAGTATGTTAGATGAAGCCTCAGAATCCTTGCCTCCAAGGAGCCACCCGGTTTAACTCTCTCCAGGGTGAATCTGTTTGTTTTCCCAGCAGTCCATGGTACTCTCAATTCTCTTCTCCAGCACCACAGCTCAAAGGCATCAATTCTCCTTCTATCGTCCTTGGTCATCGTCCAACTCTGTGATGCATAACAAGTGATAGCAAAGACCATGGCCTGTATCAGACGCACCTTAGTCTCCAGAGAGACACCATTGCTCTTCAGTACTTTGGAGAGGTCCCTAACAGCAGACTGTTACTAGGGCTATTATTCAGATATACACACTAACCACTAACGTCTCAGTTCTACCAGCTTCTGCACTCTGAAACTCATTAAACATGCTGTCAAGATGAATTAATAATAATTGTTGATTGGAATGCAAAAACTGAAAACAAAAAATGGATTGGTGGATGGAAAACAGGCCTTGGTGACAAGTGGCAGGGCTGGAGGTTACATGATGTAATTTTGTACTCTTGTTCATATGTTGTTTCATGAAATTCTTCTGTGTCTGCCAATTCCTTTCGCTACAGAAACTCAGTATATTCTTTCCATCTTCTTTTAATACTTCCTGGATCATTTAATATTCTGCCGAAAACACTCGATTATAGCAACTCGAGGTTTGAATTTGTTCTTCAGTTCCTAGAGCTTAAGAAATGCTGAGCGAGTTCGGCCCTTTTGATTTTCTGACTCCAACTCCTTGCACATTTCATTGTAATATTTTACTTTGTCATCCCGTGCTGCCTTTTGGAATCTTCTATTCAACTCTTTAGTATCTTGAATTATTCCCTCTGCTTTGGCTTCTCTGCACTCTAGTGCAATTTTCAGATTCTCTTCTGCATCCATTATGGTCTTCTCTTCCTCTTCTGTCTCTGCAATGACCGTTTGCACTCTTCCTGGATGATACCCTTAATATCCTCCCACAACTCATCTGGTCTTCCCAGTTAAGGACCTCTCCAAATTATTGAGAAATAATGATGGCAGTTTGAGGACTAAGGTGCATGCAACTGAGAGCTGGACAATGAATAAGAAAAAGAATTGATGTCTTTGAGCTGTGGTGTTGGAGAAGAGCACTGAACATTCCATGCACGGCCAAAAGAATAAACAGATTGATCTTGGAGAGGGTGCAGCCAGAATGCTCTTTGGAGGCAAGAATGATGTGGCTTCGCCTCACATACTTTGGGCATGTTGCTAGGAGGTGCTATTCCTTGGAGAAGGACATGATGCCGGGAAGGGTGGAGGGTCAATGAAGGAGAGGAAGACCCTCAGATAGTTGTATTGATATGGTTACAGCTGCAATGGGCTCTTGTGTGTCAGGAAGTGTAAGGATTGCCCAGGATAGAACAGGGTTTAGATCTTTTATTCATAGGGTTGCTATGAATCATACTTGACTCAACTACATTTAATAACAACAACAAAAACAACAATAATTGTGAATCTTTCCTAATACACAGAAATCAAATTAATGACATCTGCAGAAAAAGACAGTAGAGGACCTAATGTTATCAGTAAGAACAGGGCCAGAGAACAACAATGAAAATTCAATATAATCAATCAGAACAAGGCCAGAGACCAATAGTGGAAAAGACTATCAGTTGCTCATACACAAGTTCAAGTTTAAGCTGAAGAAAAGGAAAATAAGTGCACTAGTGGCAAAAACAATTACATAATAATCAATGACTCATAACAACAACAATAGTGGCAAGATCACAGCATATCCCATTAGAATTTAGAGACAATCACAAAATAGATGCCATGCACTGACACTAATGATCAAAGCCTAGATGAGTTATGGAATGATATCAAGGAAACTATACATGACAAACCACCCTACTGTACATGATGAAAGTAGACTTTTTTCATTGAATAGATGTTGTTATGTACCATCAAGTCACTTGCGACTCACAGCGACTCTGTGTACAACAGCCCTGAAAACAGCTCTATCCTGTGCCAACTTTACTGTCTCTCACACACCCACCCTCATTACAACAGTCACTGAATCAATCCATCTCATCAACGATCTTTCTCTGTCCCTCCACCATTCCAAGCATGATGTTCTTCTCCAAGAACCGGTCCCTCCTGGCAACATGTCCAAAGTATGTCAGACGAAGCCTCTGAACCCTTGCCTCCAAAGAGCAGCCTGGTCTCACCCTCTCTAAGATGAATCTGTTTGTTCTCCTGGAAGTCCATAGTATATGCAACACTCTTCTCCAGCATCACAGCTCAAAGGCATCAATTCTCTTTCTATAATCTCTCCCTGAAGTATCTGTAACTAAAACGAAACTCACTGACATTGAGTTGATCACTACGCTGCAATATTGAAGTCACGTGGTTCGAGGCCACCAGCTGGTCCACAGAAGAAAGATGGGCAATCTCTCCTCCTGAATGATTTAATGCCACTGAAAACTCCCTGGAGAGTCAGGATTGCAGTGTAGCTTCTTACCACTAGGCCACCAGAGCACTCTATGAACAATGGCTCTGATGATATACAGGGTGAATATGTTTTGCATGTAGCACGGACGTGAGTTTGGGGGTTGGGGAAAGGTAGAATATCATGAATTTAATTGTGCCCCCAGTAACAAAAATTGTAAAACCTATCTCTACATTTATAGCTATAATCCCATTTGGAAATGGATGGTCTTTGTTAATAAGGCAGAACTGATATAACGTGTGCATTGAGTCAATCTCTTTTAAAATATAAAAAAAAGTGAGCAAGAGATGGGGTACAATAGATGTCCCAAAACATAGACAACTCCAAGGAACCATGAAGTAGACGCTAAAGACACACTTGTTTCCAGTGTGGATATATATAAACCCTACTCCTAAAACCAACGACTACCTACTGTTGTCAAGTTGGTTCCAACTAACAGGGGCCCTCTATTGGCTTTCTGAGTTTGTACAACTTCAGGGAAGGAGACTATCTATCTTTCTCTGTTGGGGTGGCTTGTGGATTTGAACCACCAACCTTTTAGTTAGCTGCCCAATATGTTACATGACTTTATGTTAGCTTCTTAGACTGTAAGGAAAGAAATTCGCTTGATAAATCCACCCACTTGTGGTTTCTGCACTAGATAACTAGGGCAGTCAGGGAACACCTGATTCTAACCAGGCTGTTTCCTCTGCCGACGACCCACCACCAGTCGTCTACCCACCTTGTGTATCATGAAAAAGGAGACTAGGTCTTCAAAAGACTTAATGACCAGTTCTCTGAGCTGGAGGGACATGAAAGAGGCAACAGATGCAAAATACTCCTCAATGATATGAGAGGAATTATACTCGTTCTTGGGAGCAAAATGGATCCACTGGTCCTTCCGAGAGATAAAAAGGTTGGCACAGGCGGGCAACCAACTGTAAAGACAGAAGAACATCCAAATGAGGGGGCCTTCAGAGCTCCCAGCAATGCTGCCCGCCACACTCATTCTCCCTGGCAGAACAGATGGCCTCATCTACCCTTAAACAGTCTCACTGATTGGTCCCTTGGCATCCCTGGCCGTTTCGTTTGCCACTATCCCATTCCTGAAAAGAAAGCAATGAAATCTGAATGTTTCTTCCACTGACAACAAAATCGGGAGGGGTGATGGGTGGCACACTGCACTGAGGCTACGTTTTCTTCATTATCACCAGACACTGGGGTGACAGGAAGGGGCACAAGGAGCTGGAATGATTCTCTCCAATTTCTCTCCCTGGCAAGTGCTTGACCTCTAACTTGGACTTGGTACAAAGAGAGAAAGACGAGAAAAAGAAAAAAATAATGTGGAAGGAGAACGTCAGTGTGCTGGTGGCTGCTAAAAGCAGGTCTTAAAGTAATTTTTAAAATAAGAAATGGCTTCTTCATTGTACCTTTCTTCCCACTTCTCCCAGTGTCTAATTTCCAGTGGGAACCACTTCCCAAAACCTTTCCACCCACCATGCCTCACTACTAACAACCATAGTTACGGACGTAACAATTAGGATCTTTCTGGAGTTATTATCATGTGCCTAGCCCATTAAATTGGAAGCAGGAGCAGCATCCACTTCCATAACAGCTCGCCTCTGGAAACCCTATGAACGTAGAGAGAGGATGAAAGGCACCCAAGCGTCGAGGACTCTCCTTCATAGGGTCGCTATGAGTCGTCTGCGACTCGACAGCACTTAACAACAACAACAACAACCCCATTAAAAACTCTATACAGTAGGTATTATTTTCACCATTTATTAGAGAGAATTTTCCTGGTTTGCGACTTAGCTCAGATTTGCCTTTGCAAAGACAAAAAAAAAAAAAAAGGAATTAAAAATAATTGAACAATCCCAACTTTGAAAGTCTGATGCTATTTATCCGGGTCCTCTGAAGATAGTGACTCGAATGTATTGTCCTAGTCCCCAAAGAGGCTTAAAGGACTCCAGCCTTGAGGGGAAAGAAGAGGTCCTCTCATGAAAAATGGAAAATGAGACCTTCAGAAAGGGAGAGAGAGAGACTAGAAGAGGGGGGTGAGAAGCAGTTAGAAAAGACAAGACAGGCTACGTGGCAATAGAAACATCGCGAGAAGACAGGCACGGGAGGCTGGAGGCAGGACGTGAACACAAGTCAGCAGGGTAAGGGTAAGGAGAGGCTGGTTTCCAGACTGGGCAATGCGGTGGGACAGCCCCTTTCTGGGCCCAGATACCGACCTGGTGATCAGAACCTGGTGTGCATCCAGGCAGTGCGTCCGGATCACAGATTGATACTGCTGAGGCTGCAGAGGCAACTTCCCTCGCAGTAGATCTGCTACTCGAACAAACCTGAGGTCAGCAAACCTGCCAAAGGACAGGGAGAAACTTTTGAAGCTCAAAGGTGCTTTGCAACAACTTCTTCAGGCCGGGCTCAAAAGGCATGCTGGTTGTTATGTGCTACTGACCTCGACTCATACCGACCCTGTGAACAGTGGCCCTGCCCTGGGCCAACCTCACTATCTCTGACATCCTAGGAAACTTAAGGAGATGAAAACGGAATCTGCAGTATCAAAGGGAGAATTTGGTAGTCCAATCGAACTCTTGCAGTGAGTTTCTGACACGCAGAACACACCAGCTGCTCTGTGGGAGCAAGATGGGTAATCTCTTCTCATGCAATTTACAATTTCTTAAAACCCACTGGAGGGCCAGCTCGAAGTCAGTTCTGACTCTAGGGCATGTAACAATAACAACAACGTGATAACATAGCCAGAAAATAAATCCCAAAGACCCAGTAAGGAAATTACTGGATCTAACGGCCCATTTTAGCAACAGGACAGGATACAAGATCAATACAGAAGGAAAAAAAATCAGCTTCCATATAGTTTTTTAATTTTTTTATGTTACTCTGATTTATTTATAGTTTGAATACACTGCACAAAAGATTCTTCTCATTTCCTTCAGCCCAGCCACCCATTCCATAGTTTTATGAAGAAAATTCTGAGAAGCAAATAAGAAAAACAATGCTATTTATAATAGCCACCAAAAAGATGAAATATTCATTAAATTCATTAATAAATTTAATCAGAGATACAAAAGACCGTTGTTGTTGTTGTTGTTATGTGCCATCCAGTTGCCTGCCACTCATAACACCTCTATATATAATTGCTTTGAATCCTGACCTCGCCTGAGCCAGTCTCACCGATTCTGACACATCTAATCCCATTACCCCAGTTACCATGTCAAATCATCTCATCCAGGGTCTTCCTCTCCTGTGCTGTCCCTCCACCCTCCCAAGCATGATGTCCTTCTCCAAGAACTGGTCTCCCTCCTAGCCATGTGCCTAAAGTATGAGAGATGGAATTTCAAAATCCTTGCCTCCAGGGAGCAGCTCGGTTTCACCCTCTTCAAGACAGATGTGTTTGTTCTCTTGATGGTCCATGGTTCAAGACTCTTCTCCAGCACCACAACTCAAAGGCATCACTTCTTTTATTGGTTACTTCTGTAACGGTGGAGTGTCATTCACCTGCTCCTTTCAGTAAAATGCTTGTCTGACAGATAACTGTTCTAAAGCTGAGCATCCAAATTAAGAAAGACTAGGAAGGATTGGCCATCTACTTCTGAAAAAAGAGGCCTTTGAAAGCCCTATGTACAATAGAGGACACCTAGAGGAGACTAGCAGATATGGTACCTGAGGCAGAGCCCTCAAATAGACCTTTCACAAAGATAACGATAAAACACTACTACAAGGCAGGCTCTGGTGGCCTAGTGGCAAGAAGGTGTACTGCAATCCCAGAGGTGCACGGCTCAAATCCACCAGATGTTCTGCTGGAGAAGGAGGAACAATCTCCTCCTGTACCAGTCAGATCTGATTTGACGGTACAAACGCACACACACACACACACACACACACAATTTTTAAAAAGCACAAAGAAAAACACTACTACAAAAAACTCAGAGAAATCTACAGAAATGTAAAAACATGCCATGCTCATGGATCAGAAGCTGTAACATTGTGGAAATGGCAATATTACCAAAAGCAATCTACAAATGCAATACAATCCCCATCCAAACACCAACATCACTTTTCAAAAATAAGGAAAAGCAATCATCAACTTCCTATGGGAAGAAAAAAAGACCACAGCTAAACAAAGAGATACTGAGGACTTACACAGTATTTGTCTTTATGGGACTGAGTTCGTTTTCTTAGCATAATGCTCTCAAGTCCTGCCCCCAGGTTAGGTAGTAATTTACAAAATCATTGCTTCTGCATGCTGCATAGTATTCCATGACATGAAGGTACCATAATTTCTTAATCCATTCAACTGTGGTTGACATTTGGGCTGTTTCCATGTTCTTGCAACAGAGAATAACATTGCTATGAACACTGCTAAGATCATTAGGATCTGGCAGGGAGGGGCAAGGATGGGAGTTTTAATCAAATGGCTGCACAATTTGATGAGTGGAGGGGTTGGTGAAGGAAATGGGAAAGATCCTGTTTAAAAAACAATGTATTCAAACACTGTAAATAAACCAGCGTAAAAAAAATTTAAAAAAGAGATTCTTAGGAAAGCAGGAAATCTCAGACTGCGACTTTCTGATCTCAAAAACCTATACCACTCAGACACAGCCATCCAAACAGCATGGACTGGTACAAAGAGAAGTACGTTGATCAATGGGATGATAGAGAGAACTTAGAACAAAAAATAATCCATTTATCTATGGACAACTGCTCTTTGACAAAGAGATGAAATAAAAAAAATTAGGGAAAGCACAGTCTCTTCAACAAACAGTGTTGGCAAAACTTGCCATCTATTTGGAAAAAAATTCATATAACACCCAGACATACTTCACACTATATACAAAACTAACTCAACATGGATCAAGGACCTCAGAGTAAAACCTTCAACTGTGTGGATCATTTAAAAAAAAATAAAATGGGGCAAACTTGAAACTTCTGAGTTAGGTCACAAATAGAGTATCAAATATTACTGATGCACAACCAACAGAGGAGAAATTAAATGCTTGAGATTTTCTAAAAAAGAAATAACTCATGTACATCAAAAGTCCTTTACAAAAAAAAAAGTCCTTTACAAAACAGTGCAACAATGAATGAATGAAAACCCAAAATCTCTGTAAATGTTCATTAAAACTAATAAAATGTAATAATAAATTTTTTTTAAAGTCCTTTACAAAAGAATAAAGAGAACAGTGTTGCTGTTGTAGGTTAGGTACCATCAAGTCAAATATGACTCAAAACAACACTATGAACAACAGATCTGAACTCTGCCCTGTCCTGTGCCATCCTCATCAGCTCTGACACATTTCCACCCACTGCTGCAGTCACCATGTCAATCCATCTCGCTGAGGGTCTTCTTCTCTTTTCTTGACCTTTCCAAACATGTTGTCCCATTCCAAGGAACATCCTCCCTTAGCAACATGCCCCAAACATGTAAGATAAAGTTTCACCTTCCTTGCCTCTAAGGAGTACTCTGGCTGCACTATTCCCAAGATATATGCTTGTTCTCTTGGCAGTCCTTGGGATATTCAATACTTTTCTCCAAAACCGCAACTCAAAGACATCAATTCTTCTGTCATCCTTATTTACTGTTGAGCTCTCACATGCAATCACAGCAAGTGACTGAAAATACCTTGGCCTGAATCAGGTGCACCTTAGTGCACCTTAGTCTTCAAAATTATATCATTGCTCCACAGTACTTTGGCGAGTATTGGCAGCCCTGACAGTGGACTGGCCCAATGAACTGCACTGCTTGATCTCCTGACTGCTGGTACCAAGTGTGCTGATTGTGGATCCAAAATAAGATTAAGTCGATGACAATTTCATTCTTTTCTCTATCTATCATGATGTTGCTTATAGGTGCTGTGGTGAAGATATTTCTTCTTCTTGATGTTGAGATGCAATAGAGACTGGGGAAATATATTTGGCAATGACACAACTGCAAAGAGATTCCTCTTACATTATGCTGAGTGAAATATCTCAGATGCAAAAGGACAAATATTGCATGGTGCCACTGCTGTAAAATAGGACTGATATCAGGGTTGGGGTAAGACTGAGAAAAA